AAGATCACGGGTGTGGCAGAAAGACAGCAATAAGGAGGAGCCAAGGAGTAGCAGTAGAAAGGCTGCAGAAAGAGTCAGGAGCCCAGAGGAGGGGGCAAAGGAGGTGAGGGGATGGGGGCAGAAAGTGGAAATGAAAGCAGACAACAGAACATTGCTAGAGAGCAGGAAAGGAGGTGAAAGGAGACAATTTTAGAGATGAAAATTTTTCAGTCGCTACCCGGATTCGAATCCGGGACCTTTGAATGAGAGGCCAACACCTTAACCTCTAGGCCACGAGAGCCCCCGGTTACACTTTGGTGTCTTATCTCTGGTAGAAATGTTACACAACTGGGTGGAGCAATACTAGAAGGGTGGAAACTGATCAGTCCAAAATTTACTGAACTTTCCGCGGGCTATACAGGTGTTTGGAAAAATACACTTCTTCAGTTGTAGATTAATACACATAGTAGAATGACTCATCACTCATCACTGAAAGGACACTTACTAAAAAATGATGCGCAAAGCAAAATTACGAATTTCTATGAATTTACTGAAAATTTCCATCCCTGATGCTACTTTGCAAGAAGATTAGGGCACGTTGAGACTATGCCAGACAGAATAGTAAACTACATGTAATTCTAAAATTCTTTTTACTTCCTGTTTAACCTGACTGGACAGACATCAGTTCAATGTTGGAAGTCGGAGAAGACCACAGATACATCTGAACGTGTTACAGGAAAAGTTGCTTAACCTCTACACTTTAGTATTTATGCCATGAATCCACTTCTCAAAGCATCACACCATTCTCACATACATCTGCAGAAAAATTTGTTTAGGGGGTTGAAAAAGTCCTGACAAGACCATCAAGAAAGACTCAAAGCATCAGTTGCATTCCATAACCATAACTTTCACTGACCTCACTCATAAAAAGACACACCCCAAAAAAAAATTATAAAGAGCAAGGATGTGTGACCATGAGAAACAGCAAGTAGAACAAAAAAGCCAATTGATGCCGTATTTGATCAGGTAAAATGGAAAAATGATATGGGTAAAAAATAATAATTGATAGCATATTTGATAAGATGGAATGGGCAAATGATATGTGTACAAAATTGATACCATATTCAATAAGATGGTAATGGACAAGTTATATGGGAGGAAAAATCAAATTGATACCATACTTAAGAATCAGGTAGAATGGAAAAATGATATGGAGAAAAAAAAAAAGCAAATTAATTTTCAGTACATACAGAACCCGTGCAGCAAAAGGGGAAGGAAATGCACATTTCAAGGATCCATCGCACTATAAACTTTACATATTTTTTTGGAGCTAGGCTTAAGTCCCTCTGTCATACTGCAAACTGTATTAAGACATAAAAGCTTTCGATGATACAAATCGATATCCCTCTGAAGACAAACTATCGTCGAATCTGCTGTAATGGAAACGTGTCCAAGAGACAATCATCTGTACAATGACCACTTCCTATTTCCCCCCTTGCATCCCCCCCCCCCCCCCCCATTAAAATTACCCACTGTAAGACGTCCACCTGTCTAAGACAACCAATTTTCTCCATGAAAATAAGTGGCAGACTTAGGCAAAACTGTACTTCCAGCCCATCATGGGCATGAAGTAGCCCCGGGGAGAGATTTGCGACTCGTTCATGAAGAAAACCTGCATTGTGTAATGCACTACACGAACCAAGTAACATATTTTCCTAATTATTTTCAGGAGGAAAAAAAGAGTGATGATGAGAAGGGGCAAATGTAAACCTTTTACTTTTCAACGACATTACCAGACATGTGATCTTCTGGACTTCCACATACACGACAAAGCATAATGGTTCAAAAACCTGTCAAAGAAGTGTGATGTTTCCTTCAAGGTGAGTATGAAATAGTAAATACTGATAAGATCAGAGAGGGAAAAGGGGGGGAAAAGTACTGGCGTATACATGAGTACAAGGCGAAAAAAGAAACGAAAGAACGAGAAAAGTATATGGATAATGGTAATGATCATCTCATGCTGATAAAAAGCAGGATGGACAGAAACAATAAAGTATAAAAAGAGAAAGAGAGAAAAGAGGTAGAAGGACCAACCAGTGGTGCCCTCCAATCACCCATTAAACTGTTACACCATGATCCAAAACAAAAGATTTCACCAAAGCCAACCATGAAGGCCCAGAAATAGAAAAGGCTGTGGGGGGTCGGGGCAAAACAATAAAGGAGAACCCACAACAGCACTGAGGAGATAATACAATTTTTGTTGTTGTTGCATGAAGTTGTTTTAATGCCCCCATCAACACAATTTAGATCATGCAGGAGGCGCAGTTTGACCATGCGACTATGCCCGTCAGGGCCAACCTAGGCTGAGGAGAGGGACATAACATCCCTTGTTTGTTTTAGTAGAGGTTTTACGGTGCTCGCAAAACTGCATATTATGGTCATATGAGCGCCGGAAGATTCGAGGTGTTACAAGAGAATAACAAACATAAATAAAAAGAAGGAGGGGAGATAAGGATGATAAATGTTTGACAGAAAAGAAGAAGCAAGCAGCGCAGAAAGACAGACATTATTTAATAAAAACTATCCCCATCCAGGAACTGAACTCAGAGGTCTTCTGTATTAGATGACGAAGGGCCTAACCGCTACACCACAGACACTGGTACAAGGGAGATAACCCTGTCGGGCAATTAAATGCAAATATTTAACTACGCTTTGTGCGCTCAGTAATAAACTCTCCGCCCCATTGTTTGCCATGCCGTTATGTGCTATCATGGGGGGATGAGTGGGACCTGCTTGACCCCGTACGCTTTCCAGGAGGACTCCCATTACCAAAAGCAAATAGGGCTACACTCTCTCCCACATCCCCTGTAGTGTATGTTTATAACCCACACTTTTCTTACAAGAACATAAGCTCGTGAAGTACACCTGAGTGAGGACCCTTTGCATTCGCTGTGTAAATGTTTTATCCGCTAATGCTTTGATTCCAGGGCAATTTATCAGATTTGAAGACATGAATATCATACGAAAAGCATGCATTACTGTAAGCATGTAAACAACACCCCTCCCCCCGCCCCCCCCCAGTATTACAGTCTTGAGCTACAGTACATTACTCCAACTGGGGCAGTTACCTGAGGCGAGTGCTACAAAAATAGCCCAGTCTGAGGCTAATACAATATAAAAGACCAAACCTGCAATATGGCCTACTTGTTTACCTTTCAGTGAGATGAAAAGAAAGAAAGTACGGAGGAGGATGAAAAGAACAAAGAGATGTATCTGTGAAAAGTAACAACAGAAAAAAATACGCAATCCTGAGACAAGGTCTGGACTGTCTTCACCTGTTTTGGCTTCCAAGTTATTGATCTTTAAGTAATAACAGTGAATGTGTTATTGAACATAGCATTAACAGCGAATTTGTTATTTCAAGTACTTATTCTTATATTAGGATTAGCATCCAGCTAACAGTCTTGCTCAACTAATAAAAGACGAAACTCAGAAAACTGAAGCAAATCATCTCCTAACTTACTTCAAGCAAGGCAAGAGGGCAAGAGGAAACCATAAATCCGTAAAAAAGGGAGTACTGCGGAATTCACAAAAAGAAAAGAACTGTAAATGTAGGTATCAATATTCCCATCCATCTCCCTCAATAAGCTGAGAGGAAAAAAAACCCCAAGAAAACTCCCCAAAATTTTTAAAAAATAATAAAAACAAAAACGACATAGCATAGTACACACTTTGAAGTTTCGCAAAAGAAGGGGGTTGATGAATTCAAGCAAGCAGGAAATGAAATAACCCGCAGCATTTCCTCTCTCTCTCTCTCCTACTCTATCAGCTTATTTTGTTTTTTGGCAAAAAGTTAACACAGAGATATGGATATTTTTAGTAATAGCTAGGGACGTACACTTACAAATTATGATTATAAGAAAGGAGGAGTTAAAACATGTATATGAGAATATGAGGGCATCAGACTTTCCAGATACACTATAGAGTCTCATACTTCTCCTTTTACATCCACTCTTGAATACTTCAAACATTTTACCCAATATTTACTAGCAACTTTCTGGAGTATAAACAAGTTCTTCTACTAACTGTCTAATTTTTATAAAAAGTGGGGGGGGGGGGGTGGAACTAGTTTAACCTTTGTCATTAATGGTTCATCGAGTCGCATTACCCCCACTATCCAGAACGGTTTCACTTACAATATACTTGCAGGGGTCAGACTACTCTATAATAAAGAAAGGTGTATCATGAACGAACACACCAAAAGGAGATCATACTTAAAAATAAAATCAGGGCTGTTGCCCATACTTAAAGATTACTTGTATTACTTTTGCTTCGATGCATATTTTTTCTAAATTAAAAATTTTCATCTAAAGAAACCTTTAGGAAAGCACCAATGCACACATTGGTACATGAACATTGTCCCGTCCATATCAAGCTACACGACTCGTGATATCATGATTCATCCCTGTAGCCTAAGACAATGTAAAATGTTAATAACCAACAGAGAGGAAAGCGTTGTGGCATATTATATTATGGTGGAGAGCGCAAGATGCACAAGGGGCCTGACCACACCGGGGGCAGGGATGCCAGACAGAATGGTCAAGCCAGTAGCCAGCTCACCATGGCCTGAGCTTTGAGATAAAGCGGACAGTGCTGAATATTTTTCTCAGCTTTTCCCGTGGTGTCTTCGACCTGAAAGCAATCAATGTCGTAGTCAGGAATGGCCAACTTGGGGTCATCCACACAGAAAAATTCAAGAGAACAAGATCCGTGATATTGTTTGCCAAAGAAACCCAGCGCGGTTTGTTGCAACCTCAACCAGGTGGTCCAAAATAGCATCGAAAACACGAAATTCATTCAATATTTGAATGAGTGACCGGCTTCAAAACTGGCGTTAAAAAGAAGTAATTGCGCACTGGATGGCAAATTTACCAATACAATAACTCATATTTGTCAACAAGTTATAACACACAATTTGGACTTCTTTTCTACCTTGTCAGTTCAAAATGAATTAACTCCACAATAAATGATACTCAAGAAAACCAATGCCGTACTTATAGGTAACATAAAAATCAGGGGGGGGGGGAAATAAAAAAATCACAAAAGTAAAAATGTTTTCGGGGATGCACAAAAAGATCTTTACTTTAATCCAGAGAAAGGGATCCAATACCCCCGGGGAAAAAAGGTGGACATAATAGGACAAGACATTCCTTCTTGAAGTATTAAGTTACTGTGAGCTATTCACAGAAAACAAAACTCCAAAATGCCTATTTTTCAACACCAAAAAAAAGTGGCGTAAAACAAAACTGTTTTGGCCCCAAAGATAATTATGGAGAGTGCGTTTGGGTATTACTGGTGATTACCTCTGTTTATAAACAATTATTTTTCTATGCGCACGGTGATATGATGTTTGACGCTCAGTGAGCAAGAATTATCAAACCTAAGAGAATTGCAAAACATCAAATTATGGTTAAATTCAGGGGGCATGCCCCCCTGAGCCCCACCATATGTGAGGCAGCGTGGTGGAATCAGGCTCTCGTCAAAATAATCAAAGTGAAGAAACTTGCATTTTTCCACAGGTTTGTGGGGGGTTTTTTCTTCAAATTTTTGTTTTTTGGCTCAACACCTTTCATGCCCATTAAGGAACTCATTTTTGTATGGCTTTTTCTGAAAAACGTTCATTAAAGGCACAAAAATGTAAATTGTCAGCTACCATGGACTATTAAGCTAAGGAAATAACTAATCTTTGGCGGCCATTTTCTCACTAATCTTACCTCTGAAAACAGTTGACCTCCTCCCCATTCATTCTCAAATATCTCGACTTGTATTCAACATGAATGGATATTTTTTCACCCAAGTAAAGACAAATGAAGAAGCTTTAAGATGATACCAATAACTCTACATGCCCAAAGACTGACGAGAGCCTGATTCCACCACGCTGCCTCACATATTTTTATTAGGTAAGGGGGGCAAGTCCCCCAACCTCCCCCCCCTCTTAAAAACAAGAGACACATTACTACAGCTTATTTTGTACTGAAAAATAGCAGCGCATCTCTCTCTCTCTCTCTTTAGGATAATAAACGTTGATACCGAATATTTCAGTCAGTATAGGTATCCAGTACTTTTGGAGCCAAAACCGGAGAAAGCTAAACATTGCACAATGACTGCAGTAGTGCTTCGATGATCAAGACTGAAAAGATATCATTATGAATCTTGCTGTAATGTTTATTTATGTGTTTATGTGTATATGTTTGTTTGCGACTGCACACCAAACTGCCAAATGGAGACAAATTTCTAACAATTTTTGAATCCTTTTAATCTATGTCTTGCTCCTCCAAAGATTCAAATAGTCCACCATCTCTACCCTTTATCAAAAGCCTTCAAATAACCAATGAAGTGTATAGATCTTTCTGTATTTCAAATATACACTACAGCAGAACCAAATTTCTATTTTTACAAGGATCAATAACAGTGATATTGTCCTCTATTTCATTCCAGTTTTTGACACATACTGCGAATTTTCTAAACCTAACAATGAGTAGAGTAGTAATACAGTATTACTGACATGTTAAGCCACATACACCCACTGCTGAGAAAACTAAGGCTAAAGTATACAAAGCTACAACTACCATAGACACAAAGAACTTATGGAAAGTACAATTCACATGAAAAAGTATTATAAATAACGAGTGATGACTTCAGGGGGGGGGGGGGGTGGTGGAAAGAGAAAAGGAGGGGGGGGGGGGGGGGGGGGGTGACTCACAAACAAATAATGAAATTCTATAAACTGGGTTTTGGAAGGGTATCACAAACATTTTGAGACTCGGGGAAGGTCAAGATACCACAGTTGAACCTGCTCTAATGGCCACCTGTATACTCTATACATATATAAGACAGTCACATATCATGTGTGAATGGCCACTTCCCATTTAGCCCCGTGTATTCTTTTTTTCCATTATCAGAACACTGCGTAAGATGTCCACCTGCTTAAGAAGGCAATATTTCTCCTCAGCAAAGGGTGACCATCTATTAAAATTTTGACCGTTTCAAACTGTTCACTTGGGCAACATCAAGCTAGACAACATTCTCAAAAAGAAAGTGAAAGATAAATCTTTTTATAAAAGAAGTGCAGGTAACCCATTTCCACAGATAACTTTGTTTTAGTAAGAGTGTTACAGGACTTGCAACACAATTATTAGGTCATAAAAGTTCTGAAGGTGCAAACGACACTAGACTACCCTTCAACCACCCATACCTAACTCGAAACATTAGGTACACAACTTTAACTGATACTTTTCCATAGTCAATAGCAGACAAAATTGAGCAATACCATCATGACAAGATTAACCCCCCCCCCCCCTCTCCAACATAATCTCCATTTTTCCACTTTCTCTGAAACATCTCACAATATAATATTAGCTGATGATCGAGTCTTCTTCCCATTCTTAATCGAATTGCAGCTGTCTATGTTTTACATCCCCTTGACACAGTTTAGATAATTTAAGAGGCAGGCTGCTTTGTGCCTCCCTGTCATAAGACCTTGGCTGAAAGGGACACAACGTCCCTGCAGACAAACAGAGATGCTCCATAAAATACCTATTAAGAGATTCATTTTTTTTAGAACAACACATTTTGAAATCAAAATTTCCAAACACCAAACACAAGTATACAAGTACAAAGAAGGGACATTCAAGCACAAAGTAAAATCTAAAAATGATCAACCATCACTAGGGACATACCTTTTGCGAATCTGTGAACGTCCATCACTTACATCTTCAGAGCTGTCGGCAGTTTCCTGGAAAGAAAAGTATTTGGTTTAAAAACAAGTTCTTAAAAATATTGATATACGGGTATGAAGTGCAACAATAATTGATCAACAAAACGGAGAAGCACAAGCATCCCATAAAGACGAATCATGCTTTCCAACTCTCGCAGCACAAACATGCCTCTTTTTCAACTCGACACCTACAGGCCTGAGCTGCAGGCCAAGACAAGAGTAAAGTAAATACAGTAGTCTCCGGGTAAGATCTCACTGTTTATGTTCCCTATTCGCGTAAGTTCCACCGTTTTAAGAAAACAGAGTATTTACTATAAACAAAAATCACCCTTAAGATCCCCCTGTGATTCACTCTGAAGGTCTACATTTGGCTAAGACCCCGCATTTCAGATCATAATTTACGAAACTAAAACTCAGGCAGGCACAGCCGATCAACTAAGCGTGAAAAGTTGAGATCATCGAACTGCCCGTCACGTCAAAGGTCATCCACTCTTGTGAATGTGATCATTCATATAATATAAGCATTCATTGTAAAACTTGATGTAACAGTACAATGTTTGCCCAAGACAGGATCACACCACTGAGTTTGTTAACCCCAAACATCGCATTATATTTGCATTCTGAGCTCTCCACCTAAACTTTCGAGTCACTTGCTGGGTGGTGGTAGGGCCTACACATTTGCACCCTCAATCTGGCTAACAAACCACCCCGGCCTGATCGTGCCAAAGGTTTGTTTTGACAGATATCACTCCACACTGGCATCTTTAAGCAGATACTAGATAGCTAGAGAATGACACAAGTACGGCTAGACTGCCAGTCTAGCCGTCATTAAGTACGGCTAGCCTCTTCCTTGGTGTTATCCCATTGTCATAGTACGGCTAGACTCACAGTCTAGCCGTACTTATTCTTAATATGATGGCTAGACTGACCATTTACAAAAAATAGGCCTACTGTAT